ATTATGATAAAAATTATCATGGATTTAACAATTTTATGTTATTCTGCATCAAACAATTTTATTTTCTTGGTTGTATTAGATTCAAAATATATACGGCGTTATTGAAAAATAAAAAAAAATTTTGGCAAAACAAACGAATTGTAGATGTGCATACACATATTAAAAATGTTTGCATGGAAAAAATGCAGTTATATGCAAATGTTTTTTTAGAACTTTGGGGTCTTTTTTCCCCTTTAGTCCCACTATACTTATATGGCAATATATTTTTTTAATGAATTCGAAAAGGGCACAAATGCCGTACAGGAACTTTTCACTAAAATATCCACCCCTTGAGCAGAAAATTCATTTCCTTACTGTGACCTCATGTGCCATAAAAAATATACGGCATAATGACTTGAGGTATAGTTTTATATAGTGCTTTCTAAATTTTTTAAGCCTCTAATAATTTTCCTTATTCTACGTAAAAGGTAAGGGTTGAGCAAGGGTTAAAAGCCCTTAGAGCCAGTGCATTCGTACGGTATAGTAAAATATAGCTTTCAAATAAATATCTTTATTTAAAATCAGGCACGCCGTACAGTTTTCTATAATTTTTACATTAGTGAAAATATTTTGAAAATAAAAAATTTGTATTCTTTCCAGAACATGTATTTTAACTGTAAAGTACATAATTATCAAGGAATGTCTGTTTTCGAGAATCTTAGACTCTTCATTTAATATCTGCTATGAAATTTTATATCCCCAATCTTTCAGGTGGTCTTGTATCTTTTTGTTACTCTAGGTCAGGGGTCGGCAAGTAATTTTAGGTGGATACTTTTGAAAATTTTTAACGAGGTCCAGAAAAAAAATTCATATTCCTTACAAATTTTTTATTTTAATTTGGACTCGAATTTAATCTGCTTATTAACCATTAAGAACTCAAAACACTCACACAATTGTAAAATACTAGAAAAAATGATCAGGTTGTCACTCAAACGCAAAAAAAAAACTTTTAAATAATTTATTTAAGTAATTTATACTTTCAAAAAATTTTTTGGCGGTCCAGTATTTTACCTTCCGTGGTCCGGACTTGGACCGTGGTCCGCCAGTTGCCGACCCCTGCACTAGATACTCGAGCAAATGTTTGGTGCACTTGAGTGCTTGATTATGATCAATGGATGGCCTGGAATCCAATTCATCACTTGAAGATGTGGATGCATTATCATCAGAAAATTTGTCAAAAGATTTCGAGTTATTGTTTTGTACTTTCTTGACAATGTTTTCCTGTGACCGGATCTCTCTCGTAACCCGCTAACGCATCATCAGGAGGCACCCACTCCTCGATATTTTTGGTAACTGCTAAGTGCTCGCAGTTTTTGTGATAATGCTGCAAGTGGCACATTATACCCATTGTTGGAATCATCAGTCTCATCAAAATGGTATAAATTAACTGAAAGTTTCCTTCGCGGTTTTTGTAGCGTTTCTTGCTTTCTACGATTCCATGTTGTCGCTATGTCTTTAATACTGTCAAGCAATTTCGATTATTTTCAGAACTCCTTTAAATCCAAATTCGATTTTACAATTTTTTTTTTCTTTGGACTGAGAGCTGCCGAATGCCGTGGCGCTCTGGCAAATGTAACTAATTTAGACTCACAATTTTTGATATCACGAGCGGTTTGCTCCCTGATGTATTTATTTGCTAATGCTTTAACACTACATCCATTTTCAGGTTTCTCGATAATTTCTAACTTTTATTGAATCGTTTACGCTTAGTAGAAATTTTACGTAGGATATACATGTAATTATACGGACAACAAATGCAGCGCCACACTCTCAAAGTAGAACTGAAAACACTGCGTCATGCGTCGCTTAAGATCGCCGTTCATCACCATTCGTTTTGTTCATGTAACACAGTAAATCCGCAAATCCTGGAAAAGCCGTAATTGTATAATGTTACTCAGTAACCCGATTAAGTAGCACCCGGATAGTCGTGAGTCTACTGTAATTGTAATAAATTTATTAATAACGCTATTGCAGATTGTATTTAAATTATCTGTTTCTAACATTTTGTTTATGGATTTATTGTATGACTTTATACATAACCTTAAATGCCGTTTTTGATAATTAAATTCATTATTAACCTGTAACCCCTTAAAATTTAAACCCGATTTTCAAATATACCCTGTATATGCAATTCTTTCAGCGACACGCCACTTCAGAGTTCCGATATTGTACCATTCGAGGAGAGTGACTGTAAAGATGAAGAAGGATATGAAACTGAAAGTAAGAAATTACTTCAAAAGCACCAGTTGAGGCGTAAAGATTCGTCGCAGGTTCAAATGTACACGTGTAAAGACTGCAATTACGAAACTAAATACAGCAACCATATGAAACAACACCAATTGAAGCATAAAGATCCTTCACAGGTTCGAATGTACAGGTGTAACGACTGCGATTATGAAACTAGATACAGGAAGCAAATGAAACGACACCAACTGAAGCATAAAGATCCTTCACAAGTTCAAATGTACAAGTGTAATGACTGTGATTACGAAACTAAATACAAGTATGCTGTCAAAAAGCACCAACTGAGGCATAAAGATCTTTCGTTGGTTCAAATGTACAGGTGTAACGACTGCAATTACGAAAGCAAATACAAGAGTGTTATGAAAAGGCACCAATCGACACATAAAGATCCTTCACTGCTTCAAATGTACAAGTGTAACGAATGCACTTACCAAACTAAATCGAGGGGTAATGTCAAACAGCATAAATTGCAACATAGAAAGCCCTCTCAGGTTCAAATGTACAAGTGTAACGAATGCAATTACGAAACTAAATACAAATATGTTATCAAAAAGCACCAACTGAAACATAAAGAACCCTCGCAGGTTCAAATGTACAAGTGTAACGACTGCAATTACGAAACTATATACAAGAATAACATCAAAAGGCACCAACTGAAACATAAAGATCCTTCACAGGTTGAAAAGTACAGGTGTAACGACTGCAATTACGAAACTATATACAAGAATGCTTTTGAACAGCATAAACTGCAACATACAGTTCTTCTGCAGGTTCAAATGTACAAGTGTAACAACTGCAATTACGAAACCATATACGAACATGCTATCGAACAGCATCAACTACAACATAAAGATCTTTCACAGGTTCAAATGTACAAGTGTAACGAATGCAACTACGAAACTAAATACAAGAATGTTATCGAACAGCATCAACTGCAACATAAAAAGCCCTCGCATGTTCAAATGTACAGGTGTAACGACTGCAATTACAAAAGTAAATACAAGTGTATGGTCAAAAAGCACCAACTGAAACATAAAGATCCTTCAGTGGTTCAAATGTACAAGTGTAACGACTGCGATTATGAAAGTAAATACAAGAATAACATCAAAAGGCACCAGCTGAAACATAAAGATCCTTCACAGGTTCAAAGGTACAGGTGTAACGACTGCAGTTACGAAACTAACTACGAGTGTATTATGAAACAGCACCAACTGAAGCATAAAGATCCTTCGGAGGTTCAAATATACAAGTGTAACGAGTGCAATTACCAAACTAAATACAAGAGGAATATGAAACCACACCAACTGAAGCATAAAACTAAAGACGGGAGCGGTATTGGATATCTCTTGTTGAAACAGGAAGAGTCCTTATAAATGCAAATGTACCGGTGTGTTCTGCTAACAACCAAGCATTAGGAGTCTTTGAGGAGACTTCAATTGATGCACAAAAAAAAATTCACAGGTGTGAATTATCACCCTTCATATTTTCACAAATAGAGGCAGGTTGAAACATGAAAACCTGACGAAACAGAGGCCAACAAGTGATATATTAAACGTGTACATTAATTTAAATCAGCGATATTGTCAACTGTGTAGAACATGTAATTAATTGTGTTACGTTGGTTTCTATTTTTTTTTAAGTGAGTGAATGTTCTGGTATGATTGTAAGCGGCGTGAAAGGCTTTACGTTTCAACGGTAACAAGGCTGGGTGAATGGTACCGACTGATAACTGTATGAATGTTCTAAACTGAGTACACACTACTCCTACTTTCCGATAACTCGGAAAGGTAAATAAGCATGCCAGGCACTTACCTTTTGGAGTATAAATAGCTGCTCGTTGGCTTCCGCTGAAGGTAGTAAAGCTGATCCTACTTTGCACCTACACTACACTGAGGATATTGAGATAAGTTAGGTAAGTAAAAACACTGTATACACCATGTCCACCTAGTCCAATATCAAGGTTAATAAAAGACATGACTTAATTTTTTTTTCTACAGAGTTGCCTACTTTCCCGAACTGCACAAAATGAATATATTTGCATATTCAGTGTTTCCCGGGCAGATACCAACTTAATTTTTTTAAATGGAAACCTATATTTTTTATGGCATTATCGAATTCTACGTGAAAAATTAACGGGACTTTGTGTTATGATCCCTATTAAAATATTGATAGTTTTCGAGATAATCGACTTTTCATTTTTTTTCTTATGTTTCGTCACTTTTAGTAGTTGACATAAATATGATTGTATGACAGCTAGAAATTATTTTTTTTCAGGAACTGTAGAGTGAAGATGGCTCTTTCAAAAAACGTATCAAAAGTTGACCTGCAATATACAGGGGGCAAAAAAAATCGTGCCAAACGTGATAATTTAAAATTTGAAAACTCGACTTTTTCAAATAGAACACCCTGTGTTTTATGATTTCTTTAGATGCCTTTCTGTAGACCCTACAATTTTTTAATAGCTTTCCCTGTACCTAAGTTGCGTAGTTTTTGCAAAAAACCCATTTTTATGTAAAATACCGGATTTGCGCCCGTTCCTTTGTCGGGAAAAATATTGTAAGGGTATTTATTTTTATTAAATTTATTTGTTGTCTAGCTACACTATTTAAAATAAAAATTAATAACTGAAAAATTTATACATTTGAGTTTAATAAATAAGTCTTTATGGAAAGTTAGCATTTATTTGTAAATAAAATCAAAAAACCATAAAATCGCTACAAGTGATTGAGAATTAGCAAAAATGGGAAATGTTTGCTAGCACCACGTATTTACAAAGCAAATAATCCAAATTTACAGAGATTCCCACTGTTTTGAAAATGTGAAGGAAAGGTTTGAATGAACAGCAAATGCGAATTATGAGAAAACTACCAGGAGATATGAAAGTAACAAAGATAATATTTAGTTTAAAGTTGTGGCGTCTGCTGTTGAAAATCCAAATATTAGTGCCAGGAAATTGGTAGTAACCTTGGAGTTTTCAAAGGCTTGACAAATAAAATATTGAAGAAGTTTAATCCGTATCATATTGAAAATCAAGCACTGTTACCATAGTTAGGAAAGTTATTAGTGAAATTGGAGATTAAAAAATTTGGATGAATAGAATTTTGAAAAATGTATACTCATAGTCGCAAGCCAACTTAAAATAAATGTTCAAACTGTCCACCGTTGTCTTCTACACAAAGGATTAATCTACGATGAAAATGAATGTGGACATTTCTTAACATTTGAGGCGTTATAGTTTGAAACTCGTTTTGAATCTTTTTTTTAGGTCTTGAATATCCGTTGGTGGTACTTCGTATACTCGTTCCTTGATATAACCCCACAAGAAAAAGTCCAGACTATTTAAGTCAGGCGAATGTGCGGGCCAAGGATCTGGACCACCACAACCTAACCACTGGTTTGGATATACGTGATTTAGGTGTTCTCTAACCTGAAAGATAAATAGTTAATAGGAAAAGTATAATAACAATAAAATAATCACATTACAGCCAAAGGAACGGGCGCAAATCCGGTATTTTACATAAAAATGGGTTTTTTGCAAAAACTATGCAACTTAGGTATAGGGAAAGCTATTAAAAAATTGTAGGGTCTACAGAAAGGTATAAAACACAGGGTGTTCTATTTGAAAAGTCGAGTTTTTTCAAATTTTAAATTATCAGGTTTGGCACGATTTTTTTCCCCCTATATATCGATCGCAGGTCAACTTTTGATGCGTTTTTTGAAAGAGTCATCTTCACTCTACAGTTCCTGAATAAAAAATAATTTCTAGCTGTCATACAATCATATTTTGTCAACTACTAGAAGTGACGAAACGTAAGAAAAAAAAATGAAAAGTCGATTATCTTGAAAACTATCAATCTTTTAATAGGGATCATAACACAAAGTCCCGTTAATTTTTCACGTAGAATTCGATAATGCCATAAAAATATAGGTTTCCATTAAAAAAAATTAAGTTGGTACTGCCCAGGAAAAACTGAACACCCTGTATATGCAAATATAATTGCAGGTTTCAAAACGGACTACTTGTTTCACTCGAGTGTTATGAGGAATTGAAACTTGTTAAGTTGCTACTAATAAAGTTTTTTTTTAATTACAGATAACATAATCTAATCTCTAATTAAGTGAAGAAGCTTTTGAACTGATGTGAACTGCGGGTAGTAATAACGTGTTATAATAAAATTGGTACAAAAAAAACTAAGTGCATAATTTCTGCTATTTTTCAAATTATTGAAGCCGGACTACGCCTTGCAATAAATCGATTTTATTTTTTTTACTCGAGCGTTGCATCATAAGAAAAACAGTCGAGATACCTTTTCTCTTCCAAATTGAACAAGGAATTCAAAAATAATTTTTATTTTAAGAAAAATCGGTGGCGTATCATTTTTTTCTTTAAAAATATCCAGAGACGTGCCTGTGGGCACGCCACTGGTGAAACTGAAAACAATATTTTTATCGTAAAACATGTATTGTTGTTAACTGTCAAAGCCCGTAAAATTTCATTAAAATATTCTTAGCGGTTTCCGCAACATTTATAAATTTAATTTTTTTTTTTAAAACTTTAACATCCTGTAGATCGGAAACTAAGTAAAAGGTATCCGTTCGATTGTAATTGAAAACCGAATCATTTCCGGATTGTTGTTTTTTTATCCTAAAATGACTTTATTATATAGTCGGGATAAATCGAAAATGGCTGCATGTGTACACAACGAACAACCGTTCAAAATTGAGCAGGCATTTCGAGCTCTAACTGAAAACGCTGAGTCACAGTCTTTGTCCCCCATCCCACAGAGCAATGTGTCCATCGGAGCAAGCATTTTACGGGTCTCAACAAAATTAAGTTTACTGTAAAAAAGGAGGTCAATCATTACGGACTATTTTTTATATTGAAGTAAAAGTATTCAATGTGTAAATTTCAGATAAATGATTTTTTTAGCTCATGTTGGTCGAACATTTTTTTTTAAATTCGTGAAAAAGTGTCGGCTTTCAAGTGGTAATAATGCCATTCCCATAAAATTTCAACGATAAAAAAAAAGATCTACATTTCTCGACCCGAAAAACGAAGTCAAAGTTTCGGTAGATTTTTCACATATTTCCAATTATTTTGCAATGCGCGCACAATTTGCGAAAATTTTAAGCCCAAGATGGATCACGTAAGTCCACTGTATGATTTATTTAAACTTGAAAAAAATGTCTTTTCAAGTTTCAACTCAATTTTTCCAAAAACTATCAAATATTTTGCAATTTTACAAAAATTCATTTATACTACGTGAAAAAGTAATGGGAGTTGCTTGGAATTAAATTTTATGTTTAAATATGAAAGCATGGCCTTCTAGTTAATACTCGACATTCTGGGATATTCTAGAACTCTACTTATTTTTTAATACTTTCATTTCGAGAACGTTTTCCTGGCCAGAATTAGGAGAAGAACATTTGGAATATAGACAAAAAGCGTATTTCCAACAAGATGGATGTCCCGCTCATTCAACAATTCTAGTCCGCAATTGGCTAACGGAACATTTCGAGAGAAGTGGATAGGAAGATATGGTCCTATTTGTTGGCCAGCAAGGCCTCCTGACTTGTCGCCGCTTGATTAATTCCTTTGAGGCTTCTAGAAAGAAAGAGTGTACAGAGAACCAGTGCAACACAATGTTGATTGTGTTCTTGAAAAGCAGGATAAGATTTCTTGAAAAGCAGGATAATTGAAGCTGTTGTCCAAGTAAATGAAGAAATGATATATTCGACCTACGCTGCATTTAGAAAAAGATCAGAGAGGTTTGTTGAACTTGGCGGACTTCATGTAGAATAGTTTTATAATGGCGCGTACATACTGATTCTGCTGTGTTCTCAAAATAAATGTTTGATTAATGTTTTTGAGGTTTTCGATTCCCCTGTATAAAAAATAAATTATTAATATCAAAACATGTGTATCTGTTTTTCAATAAAGCAATATTTTTTAAATAGAATGGCTTCTCCGAAAGTGTTAAAAAATAAGTAGAGTCCTAGAATATCCCAGAATGTCGAGTAATAACTAGAAGGCTGTGCAACATAAAATTTAATTCCAAGCAACTTTTCCCCATTAGTTTTTCACGTAGAGTTAAGATTTAAGGTACTTTTTACTGTTTTTACCTTTTCCAAATTTTTGAACACCCAGTACATAAATGACTATCTTGTCAAAGGCTTTTGGACAAGCAAAAATTTTTATGAAAAATAATTTTTTTTGACAACTGAAATTTTGTATCCATTTCAGGTATAGGCAACCCGAACTGGGGATACCCTGTACATATTTAGGCAACCCACAACAAATTATAATTGAAATTTTACAGACCGAATCTGACCCTTGTGTACTATTTACATAGATATTATAAAAATGAACAACTTCAATTTAATTTTACAGGGATTTGGAACTATTTAAGAACAACCAACACGTGTTTGGTAAAATAGATACACTAATGTGCTTAAACCTTTCAAAAAACAATTTAAAAATTCCTAAATTTATATAAAGTAAAAATTTAACATTATCCGTGTTATTCCTAATGCTCATGCTCGGAAAGAACGCTGGTGAGATCTTGTTGATATGTCATGGCTATCATCATTAGCGTATTTTGTCTTGTTTTGTTTAATCTTGGCATTTTCTAGTTATACTAAGTTTTTTTATTGTTTTTCTTATTACTTTGGTGTGTCAGTGTGTTTATCGAATGTTTTTTTTCTTCATGCGGTTTATTACAGACGTACTCTTAATCATAACCAAACTTTTCTTAAATGATACCCTGTTGCGAGGCTACTTCGCTTACATGAAATTATCTTTAATGCGCATGCTCAGTAACATTGATATAATTTTAATTTATTAATTACTATGAAAGTCACAATTGTTCTATAAATTTAAATAGGTATATATATTCTACAATTCTTTTAGTTTGTTACTTTGGGTTTGAAACTTCTTCAATATTTCTAATATTGCCAGAATATCGCGATATTTTAGGTCATGACAAAGAAGCGACTTCTTTGGCACTTATGTCTAACGTACATAAGGTTGAAAATCGATCTAGTATAAATATTGAGAAATTCTTGACATTGTCCACTATGGTGTTGCCTATTATTTGGCGTATGTGACGTTACTACTATTAACACTCAGACTGGGCTCAAAATTTTTAAGTATAAAAAGTTCTACAACTTTTGCCTAAAAAATTTTTCCAAAAAAAAAACTGCGAATTTTGGACGCCATTTTGAAAATGAAGCCCTAAAATTCAGATGCGTTTTTTGAAAGAGTCATCTTCACTCTACAGTTCCTGAAAAAAAAAT